AAATCGGGTGTAGGAAACATGCAAGGAATTGAAATGCACCGTGTCATTGAAGGATATTATGAAAGGGACAACGTCATGTATTTAAAAACTCACATATTTTAATTTAAAAAAAAACTCACATATTTTACGCACTTTATTTTTAAATGTAAAATTCACTTATTTCCAATTTAGAAATAAATGCATTAAATATATAATTTAAGCACCCGCGATTTCTAAATCTTCTCTTTCTCAAACGTCCATGCATCAGTTGCTATTTGCAAGAAAAAATGGGGAGCACATTCAGTGGTCAACGGGGTACGCGTGCTCATCGCCCCTCACATAATTTGAATTCTCTAAATTTAATTTGGATGATTGAGATTAAATTTTTTTATTTTTAATTAAAAAATATAAAATTTAATAAATTTATTAATTATACATATATATCATTTATATTTAATTAGATCAGTTTAAATTTAATATTTTTTATATTTTTTATAAATTAATCATAAAGATTTACTTAAACTGTTTTGAATTTGATAGTTATTTTAAATCTAAACAATACAAAATAAACCTGATCAATTTATAAAAATTATAAAAAATTAGTATTAACTTTGGACTGATTAGATTAAATATAAATGATACATGTTTACAATAAATACATTTATTTAAAATTTATAAAATTTTATTTTTTTTAAAAAATAGTTTAATTTGAGCTGGAGGATCTAGATTATTTAAAGGGTGATGAGCACTTGATGAGCATTGCATGTGCTTCCAAAAAAATGTTGTAAATTATATAGAGGCTAATTAATTAATTAATAAATTTGGGAGGGAGTATTTTGGTTAAATAAAAAGAAGAGTGGGTATGAAAAATGAAAGAACTCAAATTGAGGGAAATAAACGTTGGGGTCAGGTCTGGTCTTGGACATAATGACCGAGTTGTCTCAACAGCTTTCCCTAATCCGACTCTCTTGGATCTTTGATGCATTCCAACGTCCAATTTAAGAACTCTCTAAAATCGAACACTTTCTCTAATTTCTTCAATTAAACCAATCAATCAAACCCCATCTACTCAATTGGCCTATGAGCTCACACTCTAATGGCTCTGTTCAAATCCAAGACTAACAGGAGATCGTCTTCCTCGTCTTACACATCAACATTAACGACATTAGTTTGTCTCGCATTGTGCGCCTTGGCAATATGGATGCTGAGTTCCAACTCTGTAGTCTCGAATGATCAAGGCAGTAACACCCGCTTCGCCGTTGATAACTCTGAATTAACCACCAATGACTTGTCCGCCGCCGGCGAAGACTCCGCTGAAACCACCTCCAAAGTCATCGAAGAGCCCGTTGATACCGCCAGCAAAATCTCCGAGGATTCAGTTGAGAGCACATCGAAAATCCCTGACACGAAAGAAACTCAAGCCTTTGGAGACAATCCTGGTCAGCTTCCAGAAGATGCTATCAAGTCCGATGATAAAAACCCCAATCTCAACGTCAACACTGAACCCCAGAATGACCATATTTCCACCACCGAGACTCAGATATCAGAGGAAAGCTCGTTAACTCAAACACAACAAGCCGAAGAAAATAAAAAAGCTGAAGAAATCCACGAAGAGCCTGAGACCGTGAGTGTTAAAGAGAATCAACAGCAGAGCATCACCGGGCGACCACAAGAGGATGCTCAAATTTTTGATTCTCAACAACCTAAGAAAGACATCCTAGAGGAACAACTTAAGCAGTTAAGAGAAGATAAGGGAGAGACCGTCGAGAAAGATCTAGCTCAACAACCGCAAGAGATTCGTGAAGAGAAACAACCCAAACAGGACGAAAATCCTGATTCTACGATAGAGACTTCACAACAAGAAGAACCGCGGTTAGCTCAAACGGACCAGAGCTCCGAGCTTTCCATGGAAGACCCGAAGAAAAAGAAAACCCAGAAAATTGAAGGCGAAAGTGAAGAAAACCAGAAGCCAAAAACAGAAAAGAAGACGAAGAGGCGCAAGGATGGAAACAAAGATGACTCAAAGTCATTGCCGAAGAAGCCGAAGAAATCTTGGTCAACACAAGCAGATGAGTCGAAGAAGGAGAAAGAAGGACAGTCTCAAGCTCGAACATGGGAACTCTGCAATGTCACGGCAGGTACTGACTACATACCATGTTTGGACAACGAAGCAGTGATAACCAAGTTACACAGTAGAAAACACTTCGAACACAGGGAGAGGCATTGCCCTGAGGAAGCACCTTCTTGTTTGGTTCCGCTTCCGCCAGGTTACAAAAGATCCATCGAATGGCCAGATAGCAGAGATAAGGTGACTATGAGAAATTGATTTCAGAGGAAATGGGAAACATTAATGCTTACTTATAAAGATGAAAACATTAATGCTCTGTTTCAACAGATATGGTACCATAACGTACCCCACACGCTGCTGGCAGAGGTGAAGGGTCATCAGAATTGGGTGAAGGTGTCCGGTGAATTCTTGACATTCCCTGGTGGAGGAACCCAGTTCATTCATGGAGCTCTCCACTACATCGATTTCATTCAAGAGGTAATTACGTTCATCAGCATAATCTGAATCCAAAACTCCTCTTGAGACACTCAAACTTCAGGGTACCAACTTGGGGCATAGTATATATTTTGCAGATTAATATATCGTTTGACTCATACTTGTGATTGGCCCAAACAAAAATCTTGATGGTTGCAGGCAGAACCTAAGATCGCATGGGGGAAGCACACTCGAGTGATTTTAGATGTTGGATGTGGCGTTGGGAGTTTCGGAGGCTTCCTATTCGAGAGAGATGTTGTTACAATGTCATTTGCACCAAAAGATGAACACGAGGCACAAGTACAGTTTGCCCTTGAGAGAGGAATACCAGCTATTTCTGCTGTCATGGGTTCTCAAAGGTTGCAATTCCCCAGCATGGTCTTTGATCTCATACACTGTGCACGTTGTCGAGTACCTTGGCATGCAGATGGTTCTCAGTCCCTCATCTTCCTTTCCAAAGTTTTCGTTCATTCTTATTAATAATATCCCATCTTGCTATTATTGACCGTGCTTCATTAAACTGTGATATTTATGAATCCCAGGTGGCTTGCTGCTTTTGGAACTTAACCGATTATTACGCCCTGGCGGTTATTTTGTCTGGTCCGCCACTCCTGTGTACCAGAAGCTTGAAGAAGATGTCAAAATATGGAAGGGTGGGATGAATACCTTGTGTAATATAGCATTATATATATATATATATAAGCATATGCATTTAATTAGACTGAGTCTTGGGTGATTTTTGCATTAGAAATGTCGTCGCTGACGAAGGCAATGTGCTGGGAGCTTGTGACTACAAAGAGGGATAAACTGAATCAGATTGCTGCGGCCATTTATAGGAAACCCACTACGAATAAATGCTACGAGCAGAGGGAGAAAAACTTTCCACCAATGTGCAAGGAAGATGATGATCCAAATGCTGCATGGTATGTACCTTTGGTGGCTTGCATGCACAGGGTGCCTGAGGATGCTTCAGAGAGAGGGACAAAATGGCCATACCCTTGGCCTCGTCGTCTTCATAAAGCTCCTTACTGGTTAAACAACTCCCAGATTGGGATCTATGGAAAACCATCACCTCAAGATTTCGTAGCGGACGATGAACGTTGGAGAAATGTTGTGGATGAGTTGAGCAACTTTGGTATTACGTGGTCTAATGTCAGAAATGTCATGGACATGCGAGCTGTCTATGGAGGGTACATTTCTATACTTGGCTTTGTGGTGCTTGAATAATATCGTTTGTCTCAGTTTCATCCTATCAAGTTTAATTGTAATGACCAATTAACGTAATGTTACTTCATGTCCCACAACATTTAGTTTCATGTGCATATCAATACGTGCAGATTTGCTGCTGCTCTAAGGGATCTTCCAGTTTGGGTATTCAACGTGGTCAATGTAAATGCTCCGGACACACTTCCCATCATCTATGAGCGTGGTCTGTTCGGAATGTACCATGACTGGTGTGAATCCTTCAGCACTTACCCACGAACTTATGATCTACTTCATGCAGATAGTCTTTTCTCAAACGTCAAGACAAGGTACCGATGAAACTCAATTTTTCACCTCTTTTGTTTCCACCCAGAGAATTTCTTTCACGTTGATCCCCTTCTTTTCTGTTGGATTCTCAGGTGCGGCCTTGTTCCAGTAATAGTAGAGGTTGATAGAATACTTAGACCGGAAGGTAAGTTGATAGTTCATGATGAACCCAAAACAATTCACGAATTGGAAAACCTGTTGGATTCTCTGCAGTGGGAAATAACCTTGTCCAAGAAGCAAGAGGGAATACTCTGCGCCAAGAAAAGCAATTGGCGGCCATAATCTTCTGTAGCTTCGTCCTTTGGATTTCAAGCATGTTGTGCACTGGAAGGGGCATAGGAAACGGCTATTGAAATGTCACATGATTTTACCCATTTTTCTTGCTCGATTTCTCTCGTATAATTGACCTACACATCCCATAGAATTACAGAGAATTAGGGAATTGGATAACCCCATTGGCAGATATAAAATTCTAGTTTTTTGTGTAACATGCGCTGCTACTTCGTGATCGGATTTTCATCATTTAAAACAGCAATCAAATCGGTGGATCTGATAGCCTGATATAACAATCAACACGAGAAATCATTTCAGCCTTCAAACATTTATCGTTTAGAACTAAACAACCAATATTGCTTAAACAAGCGTGAATAATATATGAACCGTATGTGTGTGTGTGTCTATATTTTATTTTAAATAGTTACACATTGCTTTTTCATAGCAAACATGATACAACACAGCCATCTCCATATGCTTTTCACCTCCTCTTTCAGAAATAGAGGAGGTGAATGAGAAGAGATAATTGCTGGCTCCTTTTACGTTATTTTTCTTCTTGTAGTTGTTTTTTCTTCCATTAATAAATGAAAGTAATTCAATTTGCATTTAAAAAAAAAAACGGAGTTATTCACAGCATCCGCGGAAGAAGTGAAGCTTAAGAACTAGGCAAGCAGAATTCCGGTTTCCCATGGCACGTAGAAAGAAAGCTTAAGAAAATTATGTACAACTATATGGATTTTCAGTTTTACGAGAATGAAATGATCTGATTACAAACAAATCCCCACTAAATTCAAAATGCATTCAAAAGATCTTAATTCGGCGCAACTAGAAACTTCATTTTACTGTTAGAAGCTTGATCCTTTCCATAATGCACCCCCAACTCCCACATACTGATGCATTGCACATGCCCGTGTTCTTCAGTGTCCAGGATGCCATCAACTTGTACTTAAAAGTTTCTGCAATTCGCCACTCTCGACTGCAGCTTGGAGATCTGAAGTAAAAAGCCAGTGAGAGCATGACACAGAATGAATTCATGGGAAGATGGTCGTAGAATTCATTAGCAAATAGAGATACGTATAATCATAACAGCACAGCCAAGAACTAACCATCAGATCCACCAATATGCTTGCCATTCACAAATATTTGTGGGACAGTGCGCCGCCCTACGAGATCCAGGAGAACATTCTGAATTTGATGCCCATTATCTACCAATCAAAGGTAACACTGTAAAAATTTGAAATCATGAAGACATTTAATGTAGATGCCATGGCCAGTGGTAAACATTATACATACCTCGCAGATCAAGCTCTACTACAAAAGGTTGCTCATTTAGTTCTTTAAATATGCGTTTGGCACGCAAACAATACCTGGTAAAATGAAATGTAGTAATTAATCATTCAGCAACAATGCATTCGGGCATGCCAAACATGGGCTCGTTAGTGTAATAGAGAAAGAGGGAACTATCAACACCAAATTTAGAAAAAAAAAAAATTGATGATTAACTTGGAAACTAGAAAACTATCAAACGAGTGCTTGTCAAATATCATCACATCTTACTAATAGTTGATAGTTTCCTGACTCCATGCCTTTTTTTCTTTCGCTTTGCAAGGGAGGTAGGACACAGAACGGTTCGTAGACAGCCTAGGCATTTTGTCTGACAGAACCATCTTCTTTCTCGCCTACAGACTTAATTAAAAGTACACTTGTCCTTGCTCCCCACACCCCCCGCGGCGCCCCCCCCCCCCCAACAAAAAAAAAAAAAAAAGTCCAAGAACCACGGATCGAAGGACAACAAACAAGAACAAGGTTTCGAATGCGATAAAACACAGTCATGCTGGCAGCAGGTTTAGCGACGACGTAACTTCATGACTTTCGTTACTAAGAGACAGTGGAAGGCTGGAAGTATGTCCTCAATGACAAATACAATGAAGAGTAAATTATGAGCAAAACAGAACAAAACTTAAAATTGAATCAGTTCCCTGTAGCTAACTAGTCAGTGTAAAGCACTACATACTGTGGATTTGCTCGGCATTCTCAAACTTCCCAAGTCCAGGGTTTGGGAGCAGAAAATTGCCGCGAGTCAAACTAAGCCACTCGCTGCTTATCAAAATGATTGGAATGGGACTATATATGCAGCCTTCATATAGCTAAATGATACAAAAAGGGGTCGAGGGTAAAAGTCAAAATTATCAGATAGACGATCGTGACAGGATAGTGACTGGTGAGATGAACACAACTCGCGGCACATCCAAGCGTCACCGTGCAAAAAAGCCATAGTGGATCACATAATTCTATAACAAAGCAAAGTATAATTACACGGGCAGTTGAATAGTATGCAAGAACAGTCTTAAGCGTGCAGGAAAAGCATAAACCATGTCCTTTCATCTTTGAAATTGAATGTCAGATAACCGAAAAATTACCAAGGGAAAACCCGTTCTTTCCACGCACACCAAAAAAAGCCACAGAAGTTGAGAAGGAGAAGAAAGAAGGCGATAAACATACGGGCAGTAGGATTTGGAGAAGATGGCGATTTTGCTGGAGTAGATGACATTATGAACGAAGGCAGAGACAGAACTAGAGGATTCGACTACCACGGGATGCTTTGCAACCAACAACGACAAAATCACCACTATCACAAAGGGAACCCCTATCCTCTTCGTCATCGTTCACTTCGTATAGTTTGTCACAGTCGGGGTTGCCGGTTCGGCGCAGGCAGGTTTTGGCCTTCGCCGCTTATAGAAACGATCGGGCCTAACCTATCTCCTAACAATGTTCCCGAGAAATTCCTAGACATTGACCGGGGCCGCGCTCGCCACATAACATTCAAATTATTTAAATAAAATTTTATGTAATATTATTTTAATTAATTTTATTTTTATAATACAACAACAACAACAACAAGCCTTTATTCCACTAAGTGAGGTCGGCTATATGAATTGCAAGACGTCATTGTGCTCTATCATTTATTAAGCTTTTAGATTTATTTTTATAATAAAATATATATTAAATTTTTTTATTCGATTATCATCAATATCAAAATTCATTTATATTTAATATTATTTACATATAATATGATATATCTTTTAAGAATTTTTTTAATATTTTTAGCTACAGTATTTTATAGCAGTGTACTTGGTGAAAGTTAATTTTGAAACACTAATTATTAAGGTCAATGTTTTGTCGATAGTTATAGATAGTTAAAATCAATATTTTATTAAAAAAAAGGTTCCCTGTCAAATTTTAAATACTTATAGATAGTTAAAATATAAATTATTAATTATAAAATACTAATTATTTAATTTTCAATTTTCTATATTTTACATCAATTTTTAAATAGGCTAGGATACTTTAAAAATTTTCTAATAATAATTTTATAAGAATGGGGGAATTTTCATACAATCAACAAAATACACCAGACGGTAAAAATCTAAGGCAACATAAACATCATAAATCACAAAAATATATTTAGCATAAAAATTAATTTAAATAAAAACTAAAACTACCTTCAAGACATAAAACAAAAAAAATCTTATTTTTACTTGAACGAAGCTAGTTGGGAGAAGTATTAGTACATGTTTGGATAAATATTCCAACTGAGGTTTGGCACCCAAAACTTTAGTTGGGATGTCAAAAGCTCATTAGGATGCTAAAAAACTTGTTTGGGTGAAAAAATATTGAGATGAGTGTTGATGACTAAATGTCTGTTCCAACTGAAGCTTGGAAATTGAGCTTTGAGTTTAATGTGATGGTAGAATGAGCTTTGGATGAAACTCTCTCTCTCTCTCTCTCCCCTTTATCCCACCTGCTCGACCACTTGTGACTCAGCTATTTCTTCATTATTCAGCAGACTTGCATCCTTCTCTTTCACCTATCATTGCCTCCTTCTTTGCTCGTTGCCGTCGCCATCCATGGAGGTTGTGGGTTCCGTCGAGCCGTTGTGCCTGATATTTCTTATGGACGCCTGCAAGACTAGAGAAGCTCTTAGACCTTTGCTTCTTCTTCGACCTTTTTGTTACCCTCTTGTTTTTCATACATTCTTTAACCTCTGCCAGTTGCAAGATTTGCTTGTTTTCTAATCAGATTTGTTTGTTTTTTAATGGATTGATCAGAGAGAGGAGGAAGGGGATAAGTCGTGAATTTCCCAAGTCCATCTGTTTATTTTTTTTTCCTTCTTTTTGTTTTTCATTTTTTGGCCAAAATATAAAGGCTTGATTCAACTTACTTCATCAAGGACCAAAGTCATTAAATTGATAAATTCTAAACTAATAACCCAATACCCATTTCTTGGTCTTTATACAGCACATAAATACAATTAATTACTTGTAACCAATTTCTTAAAAAAATTAAAATATAAAAATTTATAATTCAACAATTTATTTTAATTTTTTTAGAATTAAATATTTTATAATTTATCAACTTATTCCACATTTCTAAAATTTAAGATTTTGAATTTATTAATTTATTTTTTATTTTAAAGATATTCTTAAAAAATAATAATTTAAAGTTTAATATTTTTCATTAAAAAGATTAAATTAGATAGAATATACTCCTTCTGTTAAAAAATATAAGTCATTTTAAGTTTTTTAAGGTATAATTATTACCTTTTTTTAAAGTATCCCTATTAATAATTACTTTATATTTATTGTAGGATGTTTAATAAGGATAAATATAAAAAAATATAGTTAATTAAAAAGTAAGTAACTACTTTATTTAAAGTTGTGATTTAATTAAAAATACATTTTATTTTTAAACGGAGGGAGTATATAAAATTCATATCCTTTTTTCTTATACAAATCTAAACTAAGTTTTGTATTATGTCATTCAAATGAATTTGATCTTGTCAAACTAATTTTTTAAAGCAAATTTAGCTTTTCATAATTGAATGTTTTAAATTTTATAATTTAATTCTACCTTTTTTTAAAAAATATTTTTGCTAGTAGAAAATAATATTTTTTGATTTATCAGTATTTTTAATATTTGCAACAAATTTTTTAAAAAAATTTCTATTTTTAAGTATATTTTATTTTTTAAAAAATATCAAATTAGTCAAAAGATATATGTAAAAATTTAATATATAATTTTTATTGTTATACATCTCAACTGATTTTTGAATCGAATCATTTAAATAAATTTAAAATTTTCAACTGAGTATTAAAAAATAAATATTTAAATATAAATTATGATAAAATAGCATAATTTTTTTTCTTACCTCAATTTACTGATTTTAAATGATTTTATTTTTAATTATAAATGTTTTAATTTAAACACACACTTAGGCCATTAGGCAAGTTTACTTAGTTGAGGCCGCGTGTGGAGTTTACTTTAAAGCATGACTTCTATATTTAATTTTATATATTTAATATATTTTTATTTAATAAAATTATGATAAATAAATTTTAATTCATTAATAATATTAATAATAAGAGTTTATTATAAAATAAATAATTTATATAATATTTATATATTTTAATTTAATTGAAATGTAAATAAATAAGATGAAGTATATAATTTTTTTTTACTTTAAGTTGTTTATTTGGTCAGACATTTTCCACAGCCGGCTATTTCTTGAACGATGACTTTTCAACGAGGGCACGAAACTGATCCACAAGCACTAGTGCATTGCAAGAGGACCAGGGAAGAAAGGAAGCTACTTGCTTCCATGCTGGAAGGTTCCTTTGTTCCCATCTGCCGATCAATCTCCTCCGTTCTCGAAACGGCTGTCCACAGCCTCCCTCAGTATCAGGAGGAGCGACGGCCGAGATGGCTGAGGTTGCTGTATCAATAGTCGTGGAGAAACTTTCGGAACTTCTACTCGAACAAGCAGTGAACGCAGTTTCAGTACTAGATGGTGTGCGCAACGAAGTAGAGAGGCTGAAGAATGAGTTGCGATGGATGCAATGCTTTCTGAGGGACGCCGATGCTAAACAAGAAGAAAACCAACTGGTTCGCATGTGGGTTTCCGATATTAGAGATATTGCTTTTGAAGCTGAAGAGCTGATAGAGATTTATGTTTACAAGGTGGCGTGTCAAAGCAGATGGGATAGAGTCTTCAGATCCTTCCATCTCTACGAGGTCTCCAGAAAAATCGGGAAAATTCGATCGAGGATACATGATGTATCTGAAAAGCGAGAAACCTACGGAGTTGTCAGCGAGATACAGAGGCAAAATATTACAAGTGAAAGGTTGAGGCACTGGAGACAGCCATGGCCCTACGCTGAAGAGGAGTGCATAATTGAGCTTGAAGATGACATGGAATTTCTGCTCGATCAACTGCTTACAGGGGACGCTGGGAGGGTGGTTTCTATAGTTGGTATGGGGGGTTTGGGCAAAACCACCTTGGCTAAGAAATTGTATAATCACAGCAAAGTTCATAGCCATTTTGATTGTAGAGCTTGGGTTTACGTGTCCAGAGAGTACAGAAGAAGAGACATTTTGCTAGGAATTCTCAAGGATGCGGATGCTCTGGGTAGAAATGAAATTGACAGATCAGAGAGATTGAGGGAGGAAGACATGGTGAACCGGCTGCATACTATCTTGGATGATAAGAGGTATTTGGTAGTTCTTGATGATATTTGGAGCATGGAGGTCTGGGATAGCCTAGAATCTGCATTTCCCAGGGGAAAGATGGGTAGTAAAATTCTGTTTACGACTAGAAACATGGAAATAGGTAAGCATGCTGGTGCTGGTGGCAACCCTCATAAAATACGAACGCTGACGGAGGACGAGAGTTTGAAATTGCTCAGCAACAAAGCATTCCCTGGAATGAATAGCATCCCCACGGAATTGGAAAACCTTGCAAGGGATGTTGTGAGGAAATGTGATGGTTTGCCTTTGGCTGTGGTAGTGGTTGGTGGTTTATTATCAAGAAAACTTAAATCAAACGAGGAATGGTTGGGGGTGGCCCAAAATATCAATTGGCACCTGCTGAAAGAGCAAGAGAGAATAGCACGTATCTTGGCCCTGAGCTACAATGACTTGCCTTCTCATTTAAAGTCATGCTTTCTCTACCTGGGTCTTTTCCCAGTTGGGATAAACATTCACACCAAAAAGTTGATTCATCTGTGGGTCGCAGAAGGTTTTTTACCACAAGAAGGTGCAGAAACGGCAGAAGGTGTTGCTGAGAAATGCTTGAATGAGTTGATTGGAAGGTGCATGGTTCAAGTGGGTTCAGTAAGTTCGTTAGGCAAAGTCAAAACAATTCGCATCCATGATCTTCTCAGGGATATTTCCGTCTCCAAAGGGGAAGAGGAGCATTTTCTTCGAATATATCTTGGCAGCATGGAGAGCTCATCAGCATCTCAGGTGAATAGATCCCGCCGGCATGCCATACATTCTTGCTACGACCGATATAACTTCCTGAAACACGATGCTCATCATTCACGGTCCCTCCTCTTTTTCAATAGAGAATACAATGCTGATATAGTGAAGAAAATGAGGTTCTATGACCAGCAGTACAATATGAATTTTCTGGTAGAAAAGAAACTGAATTTCATTTTTTGCAAATTCAAGCTTCTCAGGGTTTTAGAGTTAGATGGTGTTCGGGTAGTTCGTCTTCCAAATACAATAGGGGACCTTATTCAATTAAGGTATCTTGGACTGAGGAAGACTAATTTGGAAGAGGAGCTTCCTCCTTCCATTGGGAACTTGCTGAACCTGCAGACACTTGATTTAAGGTACTGTTGTTTTCTTAAGAGGATACCAAATGTAATTTGGAAGATGATCAGTTTGAGGCATTTGCTTCTGTATACTCCATTTGATTCTCCAGACAGCGCTCATCTAAGAATGGATACATTAACCAATTTACAAAGCCTGCCATACATAGAGGCTGGAAGCTGGATAGAAGATGGGGGTCTAGAAAAAATGAAAAATCTCAGGCAATTGGGAATATATGAATTACCTGGGCAAATGGTGAGATCAGTTCTTTCTGTTGCACAAGGATTTCTTCACCTTCACTCACTGTCTCTATCACTTCAATCCGAAGAAGATGAATTTCCAATCTTGATGCAGCTTTCTCCGTGCACTCATCTTCACAAGCTCTCTTTGAATGGGAGGATCAAGAAACTACCGGACCCTCATGAATTCCCGCCAAACCTTATTAAATTAACTTTACATAACTCCCATTTACAGATGGAATCCATTGCCAAACTTGAGAGGTTGCCAAAACTGAAAATGCTTGTTTTAGGGAAAGGGGCATACAACAGGCGGGAATTATTCTTCTCTGCTGATGGATTTTCACAATTGCAAATTCTAAGGCTTAATGTTTTGAAAGAATTGGAGGAGTGGACTGTTGAGGAAAGGGCGGTACCAAGGCTTGAGCACATCATTATTAATCGCTGTGAGAAGCTGAAGAAGATCCCAGAAGGACTGAAAGCTCTTTCTTGTCTCAAGGAAATAAAGATTATAGGAATGCCAGTAGAATTTGAACAGAGACTACGAACTAAAGACTTGCTGGAATTCCAAAATACCCCTTCAGTTGAATCAACTACAGACATTTTGGCAAACGGTAAGCTAAATATTCATCACTGATTTTTATTCAAGACTACAACAACAACAAACCTTTATCCCACTAGGTGGGGTCGGCTACATGAATTGCAAGATGCCATTGTACTCTATCAATTTTTATTCAAGACTGATTCCCAAAAAAAAAAGGGGGAGGGGGAGGCAAAAAGAAAAAAAAAAAGAGGAAACTCATTTTATACAACGGCATATCGTGCAGCAGATTTCAACGGCCGGCACAATGTTGGTGGTTGAGAAACCTTTCATCTTGGTAAAGGAAGCATGTGCTAGTTGTGGTTTTTCTCCTCCATTGAACAGCACATGCTTAACTTTTCTTGTTGACCATATGCATAATGCTACGAGGTTGATTCAATCACTGGCAAGTTTTCCTTTTTTCTTGAGCAGCGGCCGGAGTCTTCTTTTGTGTTTTTGGACAGAATCTTACTGTTTTGAATCCATTTTTGAGTACTTCCAATAGCAAATAATAGTTGCATAACTCAAGACAACGGTACTGGAAGTCAGCCAGAAAAGTCTCTTACTGCAAAAGCTCAGAGTTCATGGTAACATTCACGAAATTTTCTATCTATAAAGGCTGTGATTTGAAAGTAGATTCTACTTGTTAATATTCTGTATATTACTGGAGAGCACACTTGACACATGACTCTCATCAGGATGCAATCGACAGTCGGCAAAGCTTTTTTAGGTCGACCATATTCAACAGTCCTGAACATTTATTTCTTTTATGTAATCAATTTTTAAAATTTCAAATGGAGTATCTTCCAAGTTCAACTTTTGATGTTGAAACATAGTTTCGGATTTCATAATTTATGTTACCAGAAACTTGCTAGGAGAATACCCCACTGGCATCACGCTCGTTGATGTTAAAGTTGAAAACTGAAGGCAGTTCTTCGATATGCTATCATGAATTCCTTTCGTATATAACATATTACTTATTGTGGCTTGGACCAGGTTAGTTTATTCGACCAACTCAAATAGAACTCCTCCTCAAGAAGTTTCTTGACGCAGATTTTTTTAGTTAATTTTTACACATACAAACGCTATATTGTCCTGTGAGCTTGTTACATTTCTGCCCCATTTATTAATTTTCTTATAGTTATTTTCTCAATTAAAGAAATTCATTTAATGGACGTAGTTATCATTAGTTATTGTGTGCCTCCCATATTTCAAGAGGAGGATCATCTTAGCCTCTTATAAACAGGATGCTCTTCTAGTTCATTTCAAGCACAGCCATAAAGCAGGGCAGACCTGCTGTATTCTCATATTTAATTGGTTAAATGGGTTGTCGCTACCTCAGTTTTTCAATGATGGTGATAGCCATTGGACTAGTTACATTTTGATACTGATTTGGTAAAGCTCAGCCAAGACAGAGAAGCACTAATTTCTTTATGAATGAATTTATAGGAAAGTAGTACGTAAAATTCGCTGTCATGCACAGAGACACACCGGAAATGGCTTCATCGACTCCAAGTAAAATGACAACTTCTTCACTACTGGTAAACGAAGGATATAACTAAAAAAAATGCAGGCACAGTAACGACATAACCTAATAATGGTTAACCCTTCGGCAGATCTTCCTTATCTCTCCTCTTGAACCTGTCAAAGGAGAGATGTTTCCCATCTTGACCATGGACTTTGCGAATTGCTCGAAGAAAATATCATTATTTTCGGCATATTTCTTCACTAACTGTGCAGACGCTTGATTCTGTGTGAAGAGCACTTCATCAGAACTTAACAGACCCTTGTAAGCCAACAAGAGCTTGAAGTAGCTGTTGTCAAATTTTATTGGACTCACAAAGTCCAAGAAAAACAGATTCTGGTCACCACCAGATCTGGGGCACCTGCTTCGCAATTGAGCAGCATAGTACTGGTCAAGTGTGAAGTCTGCCTTTCCATTTCCAGTTTGGTTGTACAGTCTCTGCCTGAAGCTGGTGCACCTGGAGTTTCCAATTGTGTGGCTCCCTACAACAATTTCAGAAATATTTTACTCACCCAAAAATCAAAATAATTAGCTACTAAGGGTGTTCAAAAAGGGACATTTCATATGACAAAAATCGCAGGAACTTACCAGATAAAGCAACTAGGTCAACTATGTCAAGACCCTGAAGCTTGAATTTGGTTAGGATGGTCTGAAATGTGTTGTTTGGAGCAGGGATGTTGTTATTGGAGCCACTCAAGCTTGCGCCAAGAGAATCCCTTCTACCCAAAGGTACCTCCCAGCTTGGTCCACCAGTCTGCGCTTGAAAAAATTGATAATAAATCAACCAGGCTTGCTGACAGAAGTTTCAATGGCGACAGAGTATGAAAGGGTACAAAACAGAAGGAAAAACTCACAAGAACAGTTGAATCTCTAGCAGCTAGAGCCAAAATATCAGCACAAGATACTGTGTGAGGGCATTTTTTCTCCAGTGCTGATTTGATTTCATCGATAACTTCGAATCCTCTAGCTGAATTACGGTTGGGATTTGATCTCTTTTCACTGATGATAGTTCCACTACTATCTAGCAACAACGATGCGTCACAGCCCTGCAACATCAACTTAAAGTCACTTGCTCAAACAGTAGTGATCCTATAGAACACTTGGATGAACACTGAATTAAACTGTGTTTTCGGAGGGAAAGAATGAAGACCTTGACAAAACAATCATGGAAATGGAGCCTCAGAAGTGAAGCAGCCATGCGAGGATCCTTTTGAACAGCTTTAGCAACGACTGATTTGACAATCTCTTGAGCTTTCGGACATGAATGGTCATAGAACTGAGGGTAGAGGTAACCCCCTACTTTTTTGCTGCAGAGGCAAAAGGGAGCAAAGGCTAGTAGAGAAACAAGCAGAAGAAAGTTGACAGAATAGGCCATTTGTGTGTCTTCCAAAGGCTGCCTTGAAGAACAGCACTTTGATAAATATTGATTGAAGCAATGCTATCAGAGTAGATTGGATGTGCAGTGTGGTCAGGGAATGGTATTTATAGAAGAGAACTATCACGAAAAGTATTGCATGATACAGGTAGACAAAGGAAAAGGTGAGAAGGAAACAAAAGAAGTTGGAGTTGGTAGCTAACTAGCCTTGGAAATTCACATGCAATAGAGAAAAATCGGAGTTGGTATTATTGATGATTTCATCTTAATGCTTAATTAATTACGCTGAACATGGAGCAGCCAAGTCGAAGTTTAGCATGAAGTAGATAGGCTTAACATAGAATAAGCAACTAAAATCATGGTCCCAGGTTCCCCCAGAATCATCCTCCTATTCTTGCACTCGAAGTAATGAACATATGAAAAATTGTTCGTGCACTGATCAGTTGTAATCAACTGCTTGCCTACTGAAATTATTATTAACACGTCTTTTTTTTTTTTGAGCAAAATTATTAACACGTCTTTACTGGTCTCTTACTTTAAGACTCGTATCAATTCCTTTCTTTCACATTTCTTAATCGCCAATTCGCCATGTTTTGCTTTCCACTGGACACATAATGATTAAAGCCGTATTAGAGATCCTCCATAGTTTCATAGGTACTACTTATTTTTAATTCAAAGAGAGATGGGTATAGAATATGAAGCTGTATAAATTGTTCTGAAAGTATAGTGAGTTCCTACATGTATTTCTCTCCAATTGTTTTAAAGAAATTATGCGAAAAATTTAGAAAAAAGTTGAACTCAATAAAACTGACGTTAGATTTTGATTATACCTGCATTAAAATAAATAATTCCACGACCATTTGATATCCAAAATGGCAATATGAATGGTTCTTAACTAGATAAATTTAAGTAGAAATATTTAACAAATTTCTTGATTAATGACAAGAAATCATTTAAGATAATTTGATCATTCATTAAAAAGTCCAATAATTGAGATATCTTGATTAATGGCATATTGTAAAAGTTAGTTTTAGACATAATACAAATCATAAAGCTGACCTCACTTAGTATAATAAAGTTTTTGCTGTTGTTGTATTTAAAACTTTGAAAAGGTCAAAAACGTGATAGAATAGTACGTATTTTAATTGTTACGATGATTTTATCAACAAAAAAAAAAAGTTATTACAGTAGCTGGGGTTTTAGAGGAAGAGTGAAAAAACCTTTTTTTTTTTTAACCAACAGAGTGAAAAAACTTTAAGCAATATAGGTGCATTTTTTTCTCTTTAAATGTATCACAACAAGTAATCATGGAATTATATTAATGTGATCAAATGACTCTGAGATCACAACCAAACATAGAATTATAATTGGTGTAATTGTATTCTTGATTAAGTATGTCTGTAAGAAAAATTTTATACTTTTTCATCCAAAATACATATGGAGTTTATAATGTGTCATTATTTAGACTAATTCACGTTGAATCTGTCTATATAGCAACACTACCAAATCAAAATTACTGATTCAAGAATAAGAGTCCATTGAGCTTCCAGAACCCATGGTGGTCAACCTCCAGGTTTTGTTCTCCAGGTTAAGAAAGCCAGCTACAACCTACGAGGTCAATGTTTGATCTCTTTAAAGGAATATGTATATATATATATATATATAATATAATATAATATAATATAAAGAGGAGGGAATATCTTTTTGACCTTATCAACTCCCTTAAACATAATCAAGGAAGATCATGAGATTATTTCAAATGTATTGATGATTTGGTGTTCATTTTTTTTTTTTAATAAATAATCTCTAAATGGGAACGACTTCTTTGACCTCAAAAAGTGTAGCAAAGTGCAAAAACAAAATATCAAAGAGAATGTTAGGTTAAGTGTTGATGCTGCAACGTGATGAAGGAATGGTAAGGGTTGGATACCTACTCCTTACAATCCATGTTTCAATTAAAGCCACATTTGTGTTTTATATATATATATATATATATCTTCTCTCCCTCTAAGTGTCTTCCTGTACATGCTAATTAGCTTTACTTACCCCCTTTAAATTTTTGTGGGGGCTGTATATATAGTTTATTCATGTTTAGCTTTAATTGTTGGAAAAAGCAGGAAATCTTTGATTAATGATAACTTTAACTAATAAGAAATGTGGCAACTTCTGCTTTGCGTGATGGACTTGGATCAGTGGAATCACTTTGCTTCTTTTGTTCTCTTGATTACGTCTCTTATAATTTTAATTTCTAAGATCACTATGAGGACAACGGATCATGTGTCCATATTAAACGTAAAGATAGATATTAAATATCTCCCATGAATATGATCAAATTGACCTATTTACAATTACAGAGTAGTGAAAACTGGCATAAAATTCTGATAAAAAGAAAAGAAAAGAAAAGAAAAGTGGCATAAAAAATATACATAATTGAACATATAATCATAACATTGTATATTTACTCTATCACCCAACATAAAAAAAAAAAATAGAATGTTACATGAAATTTGAATGATTCAAATTTTTCGTTGTTTATAAGAGTACTACTGCAGATTGCATTACATTTTTCATTCTGTACCATTATATTGATGAAAGTAACGTTGTCCAACGGAATGGGGCCGTCCTTTTCTCGTAATATCACATTAATTAATGTTTTGGCTTGACTTTCGAGTATGTACGTTCGAGTTCCTCCAGGACATGATTGACCCCACAAGGACAATCAATCAAAACTTTCACATGAAAACGGACGCAATTTCAACCATGGCTTTTGCCCTTGGGAGCTCTTATTTCTATAATACACGCACATGCGCTACAGTACAAATCTTTTGTCATTTTAAAAAAAGCTGATAATTCACTTGGCATTCACCTTCAACCAATATTTAGATGAACTCGGCTGTTAAATTCATATGAAAATACAATCCAAAAATCCGAACTTAATTACATCAATTATATTGTGTTCCTTTTTCAAAAATGATAAATCATGATCAATTATACTCGTTATAGCCTATATATAGTTATATCTTAATCTGGTAATTGATATTGTAAATATATTTTTAATTTTATTTTATTATCCACGGACAAAAACTTTATAACATTTAAAGATTA